TTTTTTTATCCAGTTATATTATTAATAAATTAAGGTAAACGCTGCACTAATAGACATACGTTTCGTTTGCATATAGTGATGCTAATTATAATGATTAAGCTCTACGGCGTATCGTGTAATAACCTAGTAGGCCTAGGCTTGAATAGTCAACCTCAAAAATAGGAAATACATTTGAAACCATAACGACGCAGTGCATTCTGGGTAACGTGGTCCGCTGTGCTCACGCGCACGCTGTCATTCAACACTGCGCTGATGTCTGCTGCGGTCATTCTAGCCGCTGTGCTCGGCGGCGGGGTTTTCTTCATTGCCCGGAGATTATTCTTCCGGAGGAAAGCGCTGAAATTGCTGAGTTACCCAGCGGGTCTGATGCGCGGAAAGACTGTGATAGTGACCGGGGCGAACAGCGGCATCGGGAAGGCGACGGCGGCGGAGCTGCTGAAGCTGCAGGCCCGTGTGGTCATGGCCTGTCGGGACAGGCAGAGCGCGGAGGAGGCGGCCCAGGACATCAAGAAGCAAGCCGGTCCGAATCAGGGAGAGGTCGTGATCAAACACCTGGACCTCGCGTCGCTCCAGTCTGTGCGCAGCTTCTGCGAGGAAGTTATCAGGGTTTGTTTACAACGGTCTCTTTCTCTTTTAGCCATTGAAGCTAGGTTGCATGTCATTAAATATAAGCTACAACACAATGGAGTATGGATTAATGACTCAGGCAAAAGCTTTTGAGAAAATGGCCCAATTAGTTCTCAAAAAACACGAAACGTGCCAACACTTACATGTTGTGTAACTAAAGGTCAGGTCCCACCTGTGTTTCTCAGTGAAATGAGCTATCCAATGTCCTGAATATGATATGAATGTTGTACTCCTACTGTAATGTTAATATTACTACAATTATTGTTAGCACAATTAAACCGTGGCAACTTAGTTCTAGCCACCAGTCATGAAAAATGACATTCACTACTTACAATGTTCAAAGCCGGTATTAATGGGATTGCATATTATTATTATTATTATTATTATTATCATCACTTATTATTATGGTAATTTCACCATAACTACATCCTACATGAGAAAATGTGGTTGCTGTGAACCATACTATAGTAAAGTAGGCCTACTTGAATTAATTTATTGTGGTAATTCGGTTGCTGTGGTAATATAACAACTATTGTAATATAAACGAATTACTTTGACCCAATACTGTACTAAGTTTTCTACAACTATAGGGTATATTATATTACAATACACTACAGTTTACTGTAGTAAAAACTAAAGTATACTACGGTATTTATTACATTTTATCAGTTCACTAGTTAATACTACATTTATAATGTAGCATTAGCATTTATTAGCAAAGTGTTGTAAATACTATAATATGTCTACAGTATAAGACACTGTACTATAGTATGGTTCAAAACACTAGTATTTACTATAAATTACTATAGTATTTTTTCATGTGGGTTGTATTAACTGTGGGTATTTTGCAGAGGTTGCGTTAGACTTTAACCTTGTCCGTTATTTTGACGCACAGGGTCGTACAATTTCCATCATAATCTATTATTAGCCGTCATTTTAATGTTCATATTTTAATTATATTAACACATTTAATTGCTTGTATTTTTGTTCACATATTCATTTTTAATAATGAACCTACAGGACGAGCATATAGGCTTATGCATTTATTTATTTATCACGAGAACAGATGAAGAGAGACTGTGTGTCACTTTTCATGTTCAGCGTTAGGCTACACACCGCAGTGACAGCGGAGGCCACTGAAAACAACAAAATATGCTAGGGCTGGGTACAAAAAAAAATTGAATTTAATAAAAATGTAATAGATTCTCATTTTTATGAACCAATATCGATTCTTATCCCAATCATTCTGTTTTCAGTTGACGAATGAACCGTACATATAGTACATATACTAGCACTTACCTATTCTTTGAATTTAATAAAAATGTAATAGATTCTCATTTTTATGAACCAATATCGATTCTTATCCCAATCATTCTGTTTTCAGTTGATGAATGAACCGTACATATAGTACATATACTAGCACTTACCTATTCTATTCTATTCTGTTCTATTCCATTCTATAAAAAAAAAAACCTAGCTATGTGTACTGTGCTAGACTAACTGAGACTTGTCACAGCACTTGCATAATGTTGCTCCCTCGTAGGGCTGGGTGATATAGCTAAAAAAAAATGTATCAACGATATAATGTTTCATATCGTTCGGTATTGATAATTATTGACATTTTTTATAAACTTTTTTAAAACAAAGAGCAATAGAATTTTTTTTTTTTTATTGAACCACTGTATTTTTTAATTAACCCAATTTATTGAGACAAACAACAAATATTTTTTGTTTTAACAGTCAAACACAAAATAAAAATTAAACGCATATCTCATTTCTAATATTTTATATGCAGATTAAATAGGTCTTAAGGAAACTTTTGTCTTGTCTCCCGAGGCCACAGGAGGGTGCAATGTGCAAAATAATACAGCGCATTTAAATTGTCAACGCAAGGAAGTAACTATAAAAAAACGTGCATTACGTCTAAATTAACTCATAGAAATCAAATATAATTTCGTAAATTGCATAAACAATTTTGAACAAAACAGCATCATGTATTTATGCATTGCTTAATCCAAAGAGCCGAACGGCCAGTCACACAGATTGCATTTAAAAACATGAGACGCAGTGAAAAGGAATAAACCTCCACAAATTCGTGACGTGTTTTCTAAAAGTTTAAACTGTTAACTTTGCATGGCTTTCTATACATCTCTTGTGTGAGTCGCGAGTGCAGCAGTCATATGTGTCCGTCTAAAAAATGCACTGAATATGCGTTTTGTGTGAATGGCTTGGTTTCGGTTTTAACCTAATCAAGATCTTCTCTGCTTTGAGCTTCTGTATTTCTCTAATATTTTGAATGAATAACGCAGCAGCGGCGCGTCTCGTGGGATGCAACAACGTCACTTACATCATCACCGTATCTCGCTGCGCCACTGATGACGCTCCCTGATGCACACCTAACATTAAAATGTTTATTTTAAATTCGACTAATATTCATTTTTGGCAGGCACAGCACTCATTTCAGCATGTGTTCGTTTGTGTGTGTGCTGTCTGCGTCACTCATAGCACGTGCCTATATCATGCACTATATCGAACTTTTTTTCCTATCGTTATCGAAGAAGGTGTACCGTCGATAAATATTGATACCGTTTTATCGCCCAGGCCTACTCCCTCGTTCGTCTGATTGCTTCTATTGTTCTCCTCATTTGTAAGTCGCTTTGGATAAAAGCGTCTGCTAAATGATTAAATAAAATAAAAATAAATATATATAGTGTGTATTAGGGCTGCACGGTTAATCGAAATTAAATCGCAAAGGCGATAAATCGCGATTAGGCAGAAGCTGTGATTGTCATGCGTATCTTTCAGTGAAGCACGGTTCTGTAATCAGTAGTTAATCTTCACCTGAAGGCCAGAGGGCGCTCTCGCGCGGAAACTCCAAATACACCCTGCAGAAGAAACCCAGGAAATCCCTATAGGTTGCAGAATAAACAGAAGATAGGGATGGGCCATACCTTTTATTTTATTTGTGATACCGATACTCATTTTTTAATTATTAAAAGAATATAATCAGTAATTATACTCCCTTAATATTAGATTTTAAAGCCATGGTTTTTTTTACATTTCACAGGCCTTTTTTGTTTACACTGTCAGAAATAAAATATACTATAATTGTGTTTTAGCCCTTTACTGGGGCAGTAACTTCAAAGGTGCAACTATACCCTTAAAAGGGAGCATATTAGTACCGTACAAGTAGGCATGCTTTAAGGGTAGATAAGTTACAAAGGTGCACCTTTGAGGGTACCTCATGAAAAATAAACATGATGTTACATAAGTACTAAAATATATTATTATTATTATTGCCATGGTAAATTTGTGGTTACTGCAGTTTTACTTCAAATACTGTGGTAAACCGTGGTTACTGTAATAAAACCATGGTTAATTTTTGTAAAAGGCTACCAGGCTGTTGTACCCCTAACGGTGAAACTTTAGCATATTTTATTCTGACAGATTTATTAACAGCAATTACAGAACATAACACAATCCATTTGAACTTTTAACAACCAGTTTAAATAAATTTACTTGCACAAACTAGCCAATTTAAAATAAATATTACATGTACACAAAAGTTTGGGGTCAGTAAGATTTTGTAATATTTTTTTTTAAGTCTCATGCTCACCAAGGCTGCACTTATTTGAACAAAAACAAACAAACAGTAAAAGCAGCAATATTGTGAAATATAACAATTAAAAAAAAAACTATTTCCTATTTGAATATATTTTAAAATGTAATTTAAAATGCATCTGTGATCAAAGCAGAATTTTCAGCATCATTACTCCAGTCTTCAGTGTCACATGATCCTTCAGAAATCATTCTAATATCATTTGCTGCTCAAGAAACATTTATTAATATTGCTGCTTAATATTTGTGTGGAAACCGTGATGCATGTTTCAGAATTAATGTTATATATAGTAGCAATGTTATGTAGGCTAATGTAATGTAATAATGTGGCAATGGTTTCTTAAGATCTACTTATGCCTCTGATGCTTTTAGGAAACGCAGCCCTATTTGAATAAGCACTGTGAGCCATGCGTCAGTAGCGAACGCTGTCTGTGATTGATTGGTTCTGTCTTTCAGCATTTGCGTGTGTTCC